AGCTTCATGTAGTTGTGGAATGTTCAATAGGACAGGAATATTATGTGCATATGGTCTGAAAGTTCTTGATTTGATGAATATAAATATATTGCCAACACACACTGTGTTAAAGAGATGGACTAGAGAAGCCCGCAAAGGAAGTATACAAGATAGAGAAGGAAGAAATGTAGTAGAAAACCCAAAACTTGAAGCTCAACTTCAGTACAAGTTTCTATGCCATAAATTTCAGAATTTGGCATATAAAGCAGCTAGCTCTCCAGAATGTTGTTTGCTATTAGACAACGGACTTGATTGCCTTGGTACACAGTTGGAGGATAAACTCAATGCATGCACTAGAGTTGTGAATGAAAACCCATTTAGTGGGTAGGAAAATGCTGACCCAAATGTGCAGGAAAGAGATGCCCTTAGTGCTGCACAGCTGAAGAAAAAGGAAGTTCAGTCAAAGACATCAAAGAGATTGAGAACTTGGTTAGATAAGTTGCGTAAGGTGAAGCGCAAACCAACCAAATCTGCTGTACCAGCAAAGAAGAAAACAAAAGTATGTTGTAATTGCAATCTGAAAATTTCTATAATGTTGACATTTCAATAAGTTGCTGCTCATCCTCTACTAATTAATTGCAATTTCTTGGCAGCAAAAAAAGAAAAAAGATGGTGCAGAGCCTCAAGTAGAAGGAGAACATGATGGCAAGAACAAAGGAGAAGTGAGCTTCAAGAGTACACTGTCATTGACAGTTTTACTCAGCTCATAACAGTTCCAACTTTGGCAAATTTGGACCTTCAAGATCTGTTCTAGCTTCTATTAGTTGGTTACTTAGTATTTTGGATAGGGCTAACTATAGTATTTTGGACATGGCTAAGTATAGTATTTTGCGGCCTAAGTATAGTATTTTGTGGAGAATATCACAATGCCAATCAAGTAGACTTCTCTGAATGTCAGAATGTAGGAGCAGCAACTATTGTAAGTAGTTGATGGAAGCTTTGTAAGCACTGGATTGAGTTATGTCACTTAATTGATAAGCTGATGCACTTGATTAGCTGCTGGATTAGATAATTTGTAAGCACTGGATTAGCTTTGAAAATGCAGTGACCTACTATGTATTTGTGAAATCTGGACTACTTTGCTGCTGTTTACCTATTTTCTGAATTGCTGAAAGGCTGGATCTGATCTGAACCATTGGATGTTATTTCAATGGCTAGACGCTGAAGGTAAGTTACGTTGTGACTTGCCTCAGGTAAGTCACTGAATCCCTGTCCCTGTTTGGTTCAGCTCATCTAGGCCTTGGTTATAAGCTGAGTAGGATTATCTTTTTTTTTTAGAATGAGCAGGATTATCTGATAAGTCACGGTATGTAGAATCTAAGCTAGGCGTTTGGCTGTCTCGATTATTTCTGGTTGGACATTTTGCACTGGGAACCCTTGACTTCTCTCAAACTGCTTTGCACTACTTACGACTATTCCTATGAGTCTTTAATCTTGCAACTAGACCTAGATAAAAGTTTCTATTTGCATCTCGGTCCTTCTTCTTCAAATCCACGCAGCAGCTCCCAGATCCGGCCGTGCTCGCCGTGCTCCCGGCGAGGGGGAGGAGGTCCAGGCGAGGAGGGAGAGGGGCGGCTCACGCGGAGGTGAGGGGCAGATAGGCCCGCCGACAGCTCGCGCGGAGGTGAGGGGCGGCCCGGGCACGTGAGTCTGACTCGAGGAGCTACGGGTGGACGACATGGAACTCTGGACCAGTGGAGTTGCGGGCGGGCGGCATGGAACTCCGGCGGGAGGAGCTCTGGCTGCGGGCAAGCGGATCCGCCGGCGGGCGTCGTTGGCGGGTGACATGGAGGTCCGGAGGGAGGGTGAGCGCTCGGCAAGCTGCTCCCGTTTTCCAAATGGCAGAACTTCACCCGCGTTTCCAATCGCCGTTGCGGGGAGGAAATCTAACGTGAACCTGAGCTGGAGACTTACTTGATTGCGGTCGGACTTCGAAGGAGCGCGCACACCAAAATCCTGTGCACGAAACCCTCTCTCTCTTTAGGTGGTATAATAGATTATTTTGACAAAGTGCCTTTTAGTGTATTAATTTAATATAGAAATAGAGATTTTAGTTGAATTTTTTTCTTCTAATAATTTATTTAATTAGATGTAAATATTGTTATCTTGTTAGCTAAATACGAAGAACAAAGGAGTCCTTACAACATATAAAGAAGTTATTGGAAGATTAAAAAAAAGACAGAGAGAAAATCACTCTTTCAATGAAAATTTAGAGAGCGAATTTAAAAGAAACTTTTGGAAATGCTCTTTAATTTCAATCCGTGATTTTGTCTTAATTTTCATCCAGAGCACGGCCTCACCGCCCGAGCCAGCAAGAAGGACGACGGCTGTTGGAACTTGGAACAATTGGCTTGGCTGATCTGAGGTTTTTCGATTATTCTAAATAAATTTCACCATCCATAAAGTACAGAAAGTGGTGAAACTTACGCTAAATCTATCTGTCACTCGGGTGAAAATTGGCCGCTGATCACTCGATCTTTCGTCCGTCAGATCAGGCGCTGTCAACGCAGGGGATGATATCGGTGAAGTCCAGCACGCTGTCAGCCAGCAGGGCCCATGCGCCTCGCGAGTGCCGTCGCGCAGAAAGCTGGAGCAAGCTTTCTCGTGCTCCACGGTCCACATCGATCAGCAGCAGGAGGCCGTAGGCATGCTGCTGCCCAGCCACATCCACCCACCTCGGCTCCTGTGCCTAGCCCCTAGCATGTGTGTAGCCCCTACAATGATCGTATATATGATTCAGATTTATTCTTTTAGTAAGGTAGATTACATCTTATTAGACTATATTTTGCTATGTCCGTTTGAACGTAAGTTCTATATTCAATTGATGTAAATTAATTATTCGTAAATGAGAAAAAATAGAATTACTCGAACAATTATCTGATTATTTTTTAGCTTTTTTATTTTATGTATGTTTTATTTTGTTGAATTTGTATTTCTTTCTATTATATTTGAATTTCTTCCAATTTTCCTTCCATAGAACTGATCTGGTAATTTTTCTTTTAATTTTATTTGCAATTTGTATGTTTTTATCTGTTTTTTCTTTTGAATTTATTCCATTTGCATTTCATAAAAATAATATGTTAAATTGTATTTTATTTGGTTCATTGGATTTGGATTTGGATTTTTTTTTTTTTTTTTGCATATCGGGTGATTGATGGCTTCAAGTCACTCGATTCTGTCTTCTTTGCAGAATCAAGTGATTTTTAGCCCGCTCACAAATCACCTCAGTCTGCAGTAGACTCGAAACTTATTAGTCCCATCTTGCTTCAACATCGTACTTTCAGTAACGAGAATGCTACACTTAGGGCGTCCGATGCCCTAGCCAGAATCGAATGGCTTATCCACCATCAAAATGCATCCTCGTACCAATAAAAAAAATCCCGCGCTATGCTTATCTACACGCCGCTTCCTTCCTATGCATCAGCACAGTCGTATCCTCTCCCTTGCTCTCGTTTCGCAAACACAACATTATCCTCTCCCTTGCTGCTTCGATCTCTTCCCATGGATGCCAACGCCTAAGTCGACAAGATTGGCGGCGCGGAGGAGAAGGGACTCGCCTCGCGACTCGCGCTCGTGCTCGTGCTCAAGATGCGCAATCATCGGAGAGCGCGACAAAGGATCCGACGGACGGCGGATGGTTCGATGACGGTGGGGCCTGTGCGACATCACTTTTTGTCCCAGTCTGGCCTGAATCTACGCAGGAGCTCGTCGGTGGCCGCACAACCGCCCGTCCGCAGCTCTGTGCCAGCGTCGAGCTCCGCGTCGATGAGCCTCCATTCGTCCAAGCAACAAGTACATGCTACGCTGAAAGCGTATGTTGCAAGCTTATGTTTCAAGTGTTTCAGATGTTTCATAGATATGTTGTAAGTGTTTCATATGGATGTTGCAAAATTAGATTGGGATGTTGCATATGTTGCAATGATTGTATACGTATGTTGCAAGCTTCTATTCCCAATGTTTCATCTGTTTTGCAGATGTATGTTGCAAGTGTGTTTCTTTGAATGTTGCATATGTTTCACACACATGTTGAACTGTTTTATCTGGATGTTGCGTACGTTTTTGCAATGGTTTCGAGTGTTTTTACAAGTGTTTTAATGTATGTTTCAAGTGTTTCATCTACCTTCAAACGTATGTTGCAAGTGTTGCATCTCCCTCCTCGTCTTCTTCTACTTCGCCTCGGTGTCTCCTCCTCCTTCCAACATCGGCTGGGCATTCATCGCCCCCTCCGTCTCTTCTCGATGCTGGTGATGTTAGGGGCGGCGTGGGCCTCGCTTGGGCGCGCGAAACGGCGTGGGAAAAGCACTGCAGGCGCGGGCATCCGCACGCTCCATCCGTCCAGACGTTCGGGCGCTAGCAAGCCCCTTTTAGTAAATAAAAAATTTACTACATGTGAAGGCCACTCAATGTAAATTATATTGTTATGATAGTATTTGAGAGGAATATTTGCACAAATTTTCTTTGTATAATACATTACACTTACACGTAATCCTCTAAATTAAGCTCGCCCTTTCATTAGCCTCGAGAGCATGCATAGCTCTTATATATGTTTCTTCCTCGTGTTATCCACGACGACACAACAACACGGCTGTGCTGCTGTACCACGCGTGCGCGCACCCACACGATCACACAATCAGTCTCCGCTGGGCTGATTAGTCCGACGGGTGCTAGTTCGTTGTGAGAGAAAAACACGGTTGACTGGCTGATAAGCCCTGAGTGAAACGAACAGTGAATGACACAAGTCCGAAAAACCTGCACGCTTGCCTATCTCCCTCGTCTCATGCACGCGTCCGGCGTGACAGACAGTGCCGGCTCGCTTGTCGGCCGCCGCCGTCGTATAAGAGGACGACGCGCGCCGCCGTCCTAGTTCCTCAGACGCAAAGGAGATCGCCCTGGTCATCTGCAGCCAGTGCGAGACTGCAAGCGGTAGATTGCGCGTCCAAGAGGTGCTGCGGAAGAAGGGGATGGCCGCTGGACGAGCGGCGGCCATGGTGGTGGCGTCGGCGGCGGTGCTGCTGCTCGCGGGCGGCGCGTACGTGGACTGCTACGACGACTGCTTCAACGACTGCATGTCCAGGATCGTTGGCCGACCACCACCCGTTGGACAAGAAGCAGCAGGACGCTGCTGTCCGGCCGGTGGCGTTGCCCGACCACCCCTTCCACGAGACGCACGGCGCCGTCGAGCCGGCAGGGGAGCCGGATCCAGGCCACGTCGTCCGTCCGGCACGTGTCCCCGTCCTCCCCTGAACGTTGCCGGAGCGAGAGCGATGCTAGCTGTGTGTGCTCGTGGCGCCCGTATGTTAAGCACTAGAGCAAGTGTGTCATGTGTCAAATGTATATGCATGCCTTAATTATCTCACGTTTATGCAAGGGTATCAGTGTCAATTTGATGAGTGATTGTCATCTTCGAACAGACCGAGGAATGCATACGGCAGAGGTTTGCTCTGAAAGTGCACCAAGGGTGCCAGTGGGCGGTGGCGATACAAACTCATGTCCTAAATTGGAGCAAGAAAATGAAGACAAATTATCATCGATACATATTCACTAAATTTTTAGAGTTTTCATATTCACTAAATTCATACGAATTAAGTATGAATTCTTTGTGAACAAAGACATTTGCTCCGGCTTGAAAAGATATTACAAACTTGTCTAGTAATTAGTAATAGACAGTTGTTGCATAGATGTTAGATGAGCTGAAGTTACCGGGCCCCATGAAGCAAAGCCTGCACATCGGGTCTTTAGTCCATCCCTTCTTTTGCGGTTATAAAATTCTACACAAGCAAGGTATTTGAGCTGATCCTGATCAAACTCTGCTCAAGCAAAGTCCAAGCGAAAACCTTGCATTTCAAATCTGATCGAGCTCTCCAAGTTGAGGTTATCTTTAATTTGAATATTTGAGCTACTGGTGAATTGAATTCGGCCGTCCACCTCTAAAGTACTCCCTCCATTCTAAATTACAAGTCATTCTAATTTTCTTGGAGAGTTAAAGCACCTCAAGTTTGACCACAATTATAAAGATAATTACAAATATTTATGATATCAAATAGATATACTATAATAATATAATTAATAGAGAATATAATGTACTTAGTTGTATCATAAATGTTATTATGTTATTATATATATTTGGTCAAACTTAAGATGTTTTGATTCTCCAAGAAGGTTGGACTAACTTATAATTTAGGATGAGTATCTGAGATCCTCTATGGCTTTATCTGTTCACCTTGTTGTATGGCGTCGAGTCTGTTCCGAAGTGCCAAATTGCTTAATCTCTATGGTGGACTGCAAGGGGACGGCGTGGTTTGGCAAATAAAGTTGGTGTAATGCTTTCTGGATCAGTTTAAGACATAAATATGTGGGCTTCTGAAGCTATCTGCTGCTGCATGTGTTGGCAACAACTAGACACAACCAAACATAACAGATGAACAAACAAACATTTGCACATATTCGTATATATATACTTCATACTACAAGCATGCAAAAAATAGTACTTGCAGTTGGATCATATCAGATATTTGAAAGAAAAAAACATAACCTGGTACTGTAAGTCTGAGCAAAACTTTCTGAGAAATCATAATGTCAATGACTCTTGACTGATGATTCTTTTTAGCCCAAGGTGCGGCCATTATGATCTGGACACCCATAGACAACAACTTTTTCTTTCTTTCAATCCATAAACCTATGTGCGCAACATCCTCTGCTCGGCTTATAGAACTAAGACCTGACAGCAAACTATCTATGAACATTGAATAGTCTTGATTGAGGATCCAATTTTAGATGCTTCCCTGCCATACTTGTTGAGTCATCTTCAGTGGCAGCCCCATCTTTCTTCATATGCATAGCTTTCACTAGTATCTTGGTCCTAGGTTCTGGAATCATACCTCTAGACTTCATTGTTGTGTAGTACTGCAGAGCTTCATCGATCTTGCCTTGGGAATGAAGACCATGAACCATTATAGTAAATGACCGTTGATCTGGGCCTGACCCACTCCTCTCCATCTCATCCCATACCTGTTGCACCCCCTTCTCATATTTCCAGTTGATATAAAGGTTTAATATTAAGTTATATGTATCAGAATCCAATTTACAGCCGATTTGCTCCATCCTCTGCATCAAAGCAATGACATCTTTAGGTTTTTCAGTTGTCTTCAGAATGTAGGAGAATGTCCTATTGTTTGGAGAGCAGCCCTTTGCTTCCATTTCATCCAAAAGTTCATAAACTTTTTCCATCCTTTTTATCTTACATAAGTATTTTATCAAAGTGTTGTAGGTAGCCACATCGGCTTGACAAAGCCGGTCATTCATCTCACCAAAAATCTCAAGTGCTTCTGGAATTCGTTTCTTGAAGCACAGCTGGTCAATGATACAATTGCAAATCGCGACATCAGGATTAATCCCTTTCTCCCACATACTTTTGAACAGCTTCACCGCGGCACTAATTCTGCCATTTTTGGCCAGTGCGTTTATGAATGTACCATATGTGAACAGGTCTCGTTCAACCTTGGATGCAATGATATCATTCCAAATCCTTAGAGCGTCTCTCCAGCTTCCCTTGACACACCAACCGTTTAGTATAATGTTCCAGCTCTTTGTGACATGTGGGAACTCATCTTTCTTCTCACGGAACAGTGCCTCCGCCTCCTCGACATGCTTATACCGGCACAGCGACATCAGGAGTATCTGGAACCCGACCAAGTCGAGCTCAAACCCGTAATCCTTCCTCAGGTAGAACACCTCTATCGCCTCGTGCACCTTGTGCGCACCCGCGTACCGGTTCAACAGCACGGCGAACATCTTATTCGTCACAACCACCACACGCCGCTCCTCAGGAATCTCGTCAAACAGCTGCCTCATGTGCCTGACCTTCTTCATCCGCCCAAGAATGTCCAGCATCTCAGTGTAGGCCCTCGACCCGTGGGCATACCCCGGAAGGGTTGCCGCCCAGTTGAAGAACGCCAGGGAGACCTGCCAGTTGGACCGCTGCTTCTGGAGGACCGTGAGGATAACATCCTCATCCATGTGGACCGCGAACCGACGAAGAGCATCGCTGAGATCAGCGTTGTCAGCATTATTGGTGGACTTGAGAACCTCCAGTACTTCGCTGGCGTAGGCGTCCGTGAGATGATCTGACATGACGGCAGTGGCGTGGCAGAACCTTGGTGACCCAAGAAGGTTTCCACTCTGAACAACAACCTGGCGAAACGGTGGAGACAAGCCCACCGAAGGCAAGAACCCCTCCGCGGCATTGCGTCGAACGGTTGGTGTGCAGTGCGAGGCAAGAACGCCGAGCCTCTTGAGATCTGCGCATGAAACACCAGCATCAGCAGCGAGTTAGTCAACGTCACGAGAAACCAAAAATAGGATTTCTTTTTTTCTCCGCTGTTGGATAGAGGATTCCATCGCACTCGTTGGAGAGTAGGGCTTCTTCGGGCAATGAGAAGAGGAAGGAGGTGGACACGATGCGTACCGGAGAGGGGATTGCTGAACCAGCAGGCGGCGGCGAGGATCGCGGACTCAAGCCGCGGCGGCGGCATCGTGCTACAGGAGTACCAACGGTACCGCCGCGGCGAGGGCCAATTGAATAGTACAGGTACACTTCCAGTTCCAGACAGTCAAATCGATGGAGGCCAGAGGCACGGGTGTCGGCGGAGGTGGCGGCCTCGAGAATAGAGTTGCCGGAGTTGGCGTGGCGCTTTTCCGCAGACTGGAGCAGGCCACGGCGCCGCGCGGGCAGCGTGCCGTCGGCGCGTGCGTGCGTCTCAGTTGTCGAGCGGGCGGACGGCGCTGGCCACTAGGCGAGGGCGGAGGGCGGAGGGCGGAGGGCGGCGCGCAGTCAGCAGTCGCAGTATCACAGAGGAGAAGGATGGGAAGAGGGGAGCTCTCGCTTTGCTCGGCTATCCGGCTCGGGCCTCGGGTCCAAGATTTATGGGCCGGCCCGCGGCAGGCGAGCTCGCATGCTGAACTGTGACGTACACAGCCCACCAGAGGTCCAGTGAAGGTGGGGGCCCACGAAGCCTGACTTGCGGAGCCGGAGCAGGCAAGTGAAGTGCCACCGGTCACCTGCTCTCCCGCCAAATCCTCTTCACCCACCGGGGCTTGCTGAACCTGCTGGAGGCGGCGAGGATCGCGGACTCGAGCCGCAGCGGCGGCATCGTGCTACAGCAGTAACAGCTCTACCGCGGCGAGGGTTGCGGTACACTTGCAGACAGTCCCGTCTCCAGTCAGGGGAGGCGGAGGACAGAGGCACGGGTGCCGGAGGCGGCGGAGATGGCGGCCTCGGGAGTTCCGGAGTTGGTGCGGCGCTTTTGCACAGACTGGAGCAGGCCACGGCGCCGCGCGGGCAGCGTGCCGTCGGCGCGTGCGTCTCAGTTGTCGGCGAGTTTTATAGAGGTAAAACTCAGGTTTAATTCAGAAATCATGAAATTAAAAAAAAAGAACAAGATAATCGTTGTCCTCCAAAGTAGAGCACACAAAGGTTATGCTCATATCTGATGGATATTGTGTGAATAATCGAAATATGTTGTGGAATATAGAAAATATAGTATGTGAACAAAACGAGAGAAAAAAAAAGATAAAAAGGAATCTAATAGTGGGCTGAAATTTGTGCCTGAACCTGATTGTGGTTAGAGTTGGGCGGGGCTTATACGAGAGAAAAACAACTGCCGCCACAGCTCTTCCCCACAGGAACGCCTTGGTCCCCTCCTCTCGGCCACCAGCGTCATAGGAGTGAGGACCTGATCCCTCTGTCGTTTTTAGTTTTTTTTTAGACCTTTGTTCTTTTAGGGTTTGGTTTCTGCCATCATCAGCGAGGTGGTGGCAACGATGATGCACTAGAATAAGGTCTGTCCGGCCTCTCCCTACCTCATCTACGTTCGATCCGACATTGACGAAGGGCCAGTGAGAGTTTGGTCTGTCAGATCTATTAGTTCTTTTCAGATCTTGGTGTCAGTTGGTGTGTTTATCGGTGAAAGCAGTAAGTTGGCTCTCTTCATGACGACTTCGACCTCTTTCTTTTGCCGATGTTCTTTTCAGGGGAATCTAGATCTCGTTGCCAGTGACGAGTGGATTTTGCGGTCTTCAAAACCTTGTATGGCGAGGGAGTTTGTGACGCCGGTTCCGTGCCTTATGCATTGTGACGGTTGATCCTATATATAGTGTGGTTTTATACCTTGGAGACGACAAAGGTTAGGGTCAGCGAGTTCAGTTCAAATTCAGACAGCTAGGATCTCATAGCTAGGTACCTTCCAAGAGTTAGGCAAAAGTTGGCAATATGCGTCCCTCTTATCTAAACCACAACTGCTTCTTTAGTTTCGAATACTGAAGTATTGAGCATACTTATGTTATTTTCCTTAGCACAACCAACTAACAGAAGATATCAGTTGTTGATTAGTTTTCACAGTACCATTTCGTTTGGAAATACCAGAGTTCTATATATTTTCGTATCTTTTGTTTGGAATAAGGTTTACCCAAATATGTGAGCTAACATTTTGACTTGTACCCGCACGCTTTATAATGGAATACTTGATGACAAGTTTATAGATCACGAAGAAATATCCCTAGAGAATGGAGGGGCCTAGAGGATGAATCCTGAGACTAGTGAAGTGGTTCTTCAGTTACCAGATCCAATTGGTTGTCACTTTTAAGACTTCATTTGTAGCAAAAGCCCCATGCAGTTCCAAAGGCTCCTCGCAATAATTCTCCCTATAATCTCTTTCCCTTCTTTAAAGGAAAAAAAATCAAACGATAGAAGAATGCCACACCCGTGATTTAAAGGCAACACACGTGCGTGCACCCACCCATGCACACATATGATCCATTAGCACTAAAAATTATTAGTATAGTGGATCCAAACAGATCTGCTAATTTATAGATTAAGCGCTACTAACTATTTGAGGCAGTTTGGATCCCTTTATTTTTTAAGAAATTAGAATCTACTTAGGGCCCGTTGGAGCATAGGAATTTCACGGGAATTATACAGTAATTTCACAGGAATCAATTCATTTTTCACGGGGAAAAATGTAGGAAAGAAAAAAAAACGGCATTCCAAAGGGACCCTTAATTGAGTATGCTATTTGGTCTGGAATATGACATTCCACAACTTTCCGAAGTTTAGATGTAAGCCTATCTAAAATTCATGGAGTGGGAGATGAAAATTGATTCTATAAATTCTCATGCTATGTTTCTACTATGCACTTATAGCCCACTCTTCTACTCGCTTCCCTATAGCAGAAGTGTAGCACATAAGTATCTCCCCAATATGACCGACAATAGTATACAAATATATTTCACACAACTATATTAGCTTAATAATTCCAAGAATCCAAGAGGGACCTTAGTTTCATTAGCATGTTTGGAGTTACTAATAGTGTTAATAGTTTATGTACACCCAACTCACTATCTAGTTAGATCAAACACTCTCCTGCTAAAAATTAGCTAGCTAAAAATAACAGCTATTAACTATTAGATAGCTATTTTTTAGTGCCAATATATTCAACCAGGCCCATAGTATCCAACCAGAAGGGGCTAACATTTTCGTACATATATAGATTATTTAAGGCAACCGTTCAACCCTCCAAATTTCATCAGTATGAAACTTGCCTCAGATGCACACCGCGTCCTGAATTACTGCAAATAATATAGCTACCTAAAAGAAAATTTTAAAAGGAGAATATTGCTGACGCCATGGGTACTGTCTTAGAAAGGAGATGGCAGCACATCTTAGTCTGCACCAATGCTTTACAGGATGAGGTCAAAACACCACTGCGTGTTTGCTGATAAGCTGCATAGGCAAGCAACTGAATAGGGAGGAGATGCTATCAGCGCTGATGGTAGATGCCAGTGCCTGAGTGGGCACCATACGCATATGGGTTAATGCTGCTGCCAATTCCCATGGTAGCTGGCTCCATGCCTGTTGTTGAAGTATAGATGAGGTGTGCCTGGAAACAGCGACTTCTAATTAAGTTCACTGTATGATAAAAGCAGTACAGATAGAAGATATATAAATAATTAAATCTTTGTAAACTATTATATGACAATGAATTAAATCAAGCTTATTCGAATGTTTTAGTCCCTTTTGGAATTCTTTTCACGTTTATAAACATGGTGTCCATGATTTCTAGAGCTTTCTAATCACATGACACAAGGAGATTATAGCACATTAAATAATTTTTGGTAAGAGTATATATATGAAAGTAAGGCCCTATTTGGATGACGCAGTTTTCGGAAACGGTAGTATCATAAAACTTGTAGTTTTATAAGCCAAAAAAAAAAGGCAAAGACACAAAACTGTGGTTTAGAAGAAAGAGATAATGAGTGGAGTTTCTAAAACTCCAAAAAGACTACAGTTTTCACAAAATTATGGTTCTAGAGACTATAAGATTTGTTGTATCGAAACACCTGGTAGCTTTTGAAAATTGATGAAGTATTTTGTAAAACCATAATGTTTCTTCAATACTTCGAAAATACTTTGCATATAGAGAAGGCCTAAACTTTAATAATAAGAGATTGTCTTTTCTAAAACAGCAGGTCAAATGAGGACATGGGTTCGTATCATAAAAGCTGCACAATTTTTTTACCGTGTGAGGTCGAAATGCCATGCTAGGTGTAGTCCGCTGCTCTGCAGTAGTGGCCCCTGCGGCAGCGATTGATAATTGAGCCCTGTTTAGTTTTCACCTAAAACTTTACACCTTGTCATATCAAATATCTAGATACATGTATAGAGTATTAAATATAGACTAAAAATAACTAATGACATAGTTTACGATTAATTTACGAGACAAATCTTTTAAACCTAATTAGTCTATAATTTGACAACAAAGTGCTATAGTACACGCATGTGCTAATGATGGATTACTTAGTCTTAATAAATTTGTCTCATGGTTTACAAACGGATTTTATAATTTATTTTTTATTAGTATAAAAAAAAAACCATACGATACCCTCAAATAACATTCAACGTGACGCCCTGAAATTTTAAGGCTGTGATCTAAAAACAAGGCTACGTTAGGTGCACGGGCCGACGGTGGATAGACAGGGTTGTAGGGTCCAGCCCACCTGTTGAAGCATGACGGCGGCGGCGGCGGCTGAAGAAGCACAATCTAATCAATGTTGCTGTATGATGACTAAAAATGTGCACATGGGAAACAGTGCATATGAAATACGGCATACCGGATTGTTCTGATGGGGCCATGATGAGTATCCACTGTATCCAGGCTGCTCGTACCTGTTAAAGCATAGCCGCGGAGGCTGGAAATGGCACATTAGAATTAATTTTGTTGTATGACACATAGAAAACATGATATATATGGCTCCGTTCGGATGGTATGATTTTGGAGAAATTTGGATGGTTTGGAGGAATTCTGGAGAAATTTGTGAGAGAAAAACACTGTTCCGGATGAAAAAAGAAGTGGATCAAACCGGGTTGAAGGACACGCGAACAGGGCCTTGGATTCGGCATACCATATTATTTTGATTAGGATGGGCCTGTGAGATAAGAACATTCTGTACAGTACTCTGAGCTCCATTTTGTGCATGGTTGACTTTCTCAGCCAAGAGCCTGAGGACAGCAAATCCGATTATACAAAAGAGCTCCAATATTAGCTAAAACTAATGAGCGATAGCTTTCAGAATATTCAATGGTTTGATAATTTAAAACAGATCATCATTGCACAAATATTCAAAGAACAGAGTAAGAAACCTGCCTTGGACGTTTGTTCTCAGATTCATAGGAAATGGGCTCACCCACACGGATCTACAGACACAAGGGAGGAAACATTAGCAGGTCAGGTGGGAACTGGGAGTTCTTTTAAATAAGAAGACCAGCGCATGATAGAAAATACTTACAGCTGTACTGTTTGGCTTATTGGCAGAGCTGTCCATCAGTGCAATCTGGCTTGCTGAGACTTTAATGCCTACAGAAACAGGTAAACTCACCATAGTCCTAAACAGAGATTCAGTAGTGCTCAAGTTATTTTACTTTTGCAGACTCATATGGAGTGCAAAATAGCACGCAGTTTGTAAATATCCTCTCACCCAAGCATAGAATCATTTGAATTCTTTGATAAGCATTAGCGCAGATAAAAAATCTGGCTGCCCAGCACAGATTAAGACTGGATTCTACACAGTATAAATAAAAATCAACAGAGAATATAACCTTACATGCCCTGTATCTATTGTAAACAAAAAGTTTAAATGAGATTAAGATATTGTCATAAAGGCAAGGTACAAAAACCAGATATCCCTATTTCTCACGGTAGAAACCACGAGTAATAACAAACATATATATGGTGTGGAGCTTCAAAGGGTGTAAGCAGCAAACAATATAATTGTCCAACAGTGTTGTCACAGGCGTGTTGATAACAAGAGAAGGTCAACAATTACCTGGAGTCATTTTCAGGTTGTTCGCCAATGCACAGGGACGCAATATTTGCTGCGAAGGGGGGTATTTTCCAAAAGTACGCACTCCAGGTGCTTCTACTTTCAGTGTCTTCTCCACAAGGTCGACAGCAGCCAGCACCGGTACACCCAATTGCCGGCTAAACAACTTGAGGTAAAGGATGTCATTACCGTCCGTGCTCAGGGTGGGCCGAGCACACTGCAGGTTCTTGAATGTCAGGCTCACAGCAGATTCACTCTTCTTGCTGGACACCGACGCTGTAAACACCGAGTCATCGACCAAAATGTCATTCACATCAACAACGCTTCCTTTGAGCCAAAAGTTCGACCCTATCTCCCTAGTCCATATAGTGGCACTCCAACCATTCGCTGAGCGCTGAATCTTAGGCTTGTTTTCCACTGGTTTGTGCTTGCTCAGCATGATCAATTCTGAATCATAGAACACATCCTTGGTCCTTGGGTCAAAAGGCTTTTCAGGAGGATCATCTGTAATCTCTCTTACAATCACATGGTGTTCTATCTCAATAAACTTGATCAGACCATCAACACAGGTGACATCCCCAAAAAGCCTAACTCCTGGGAGGAATTTCTTCACTTTTTTCTCTGTTTTCAGGCAAGGGCTCAGGCAATGAGTTGTATTGCGCACGATGGGGTTCTTTTAGTATGTCACATGTCACTATACCTTGCAGCAAATCGACCCATAACACCAAACCATCTCCGAGTGTGAAGACCTTGTCCGGCATAATTGTACCGATCTCAGGACATGGATTGGGCAGTTCCTTAGTCGTCCATGTTGTATCCTCAGACGAGTAGATGTGAAGCCGGTAATCTTTATTCACCGTGCCACGGAGTGCAATCAGGAGATAATGGCCATCGTCACCGCGGGGCACGATTCCAAACTCCACTCCGTGCAGCCTATAATGATATGGAATAAGCGGGATGCTTTCGAGGGATGGGGACTTGGGTGGCCCTTGTAGATGAAGTATTCATCCTGGTCGTCTCCGGCCAAGAGGGTGCGAATAAGAAGGAATCTGCCATGTGCGCCCGCAACGACTGAATTAACTCTGAGGTCGACGTCCTTGGAGTCGGAGTTGGGAGCCTTGATGCAGTGGAAGGTGTAGAAAGACACCGCCGGTGGATCAGCGATCCAGAAGGTGATCTCCACGGTATGGTTGTCCTTCGATCTGGCTCTGGCCGTGGTGTCGTTCCTACTGGCGGCGACGTACGCCTCCTCCGCGAGGAGAATCGACGCCGGCCAAGGGCAGACGTTCCCGGCGTCGCTCGATCCGGACGCCATCCCCGAGGGAGCGGCGCCGCGCGGAGGACAGCCCGCGAAGATGGCCGACTCGCCGTTTAGGACTTCGGCCAGGGTTATGGGAGAAGGCAGGCAGCACGCAGGTCCATGATTTCTGTGTAGAGAATGGGCCGACCCGCGGCAGGCGAGCTCTCATGCTGAACTGTGACGTACACAGCCCACCAGAGGTCCAGTGAAGGTGGGGGCCCACGTAGCCTGACTGCGGAGGCAAGTGAAGTGCCACCGGTCACCTGCTCTCCCGCCAAATCCTCTTCACCCACCCGAACCACGGGACAGCCGCTCCGCTAGCGCTAATAAACCTCACGCCGCGCGCGAGCTCTCCAGCAACCGCCACCCCCATGGCGTTCCCCTTCCCCTCCCTCTCCCTCGCGGGCCTCCTCGCGCGCCGCGCGCTGCTGCTCTACGCGGCCGCGTGGACGGCGGTGGCCACCACGGCCGTGGCCGTGGCGGCATTCGCGCCGGAGCTCGCCTTCGTCTGGGCCGTCGGGCCCGGGGCGCCGCTCTCCCGGGCGTGCCCGGGCACCACCACCGGCAATGGCGACGGGTTCACCGTCGGCCTGCCGGTCGACGGCCCGCCGTGGGACGCCGTCTGCGTGCCCGCCGGCATGTTCGGACGGGCAAAGCCCGATGTCATCGTGCCCCTCGTGTTCGCCGTCGTCGTGGTAACCGGCGCCGTCTGGTTCACCACGGCCGTTGGGGTGTGGGAGGATGAACATGACGACGAGCCATCTTCGCCGGCTGTTTTTCTAGAACAAGTATAGGCTGTGTTTGTGTGATTCTCGATCTGTTTACATACATGAAGCAGTAATTTTGTGGTGTATATAAGATATGAATCTTGGATCTTGGCTTCTAGTTTCAGTGGCAACACAGCAGAGATGTTCAGAATGTAACAAGATCTGTATTCACAATTCAGATGCTGAACCAAATAACAAAGACGAATCAAACACTGATGGTGTTTCAGGCAAACACGACTCTGAATTTCAAGCCAGAACTGAGCTGCATGTATATTGAACAGATATTAACAGCGCTACAAGTTGATCTTTGCCACACCAGACTAATTAATCTAGGAAAGCAAGCAGATTTTATTTCTGAACACCACGAGGTCCAGCCATCGCTCAGGTTCCTAATAACCACCCGCTACATATTAACCAAGTCATCACTTGTACCACCAGATGCCAGGCAGGAAGAGAACATTTCTCTGATCCAGCTCTTTCGGCTCTCATTTCGCAGACTTGATCAGCTCCTCGCTGAAGTCCCAGAGTTGCTTTGCCAACTCCTCACTTCTCGCCAGTTTGCTCGTCTTCTCCACGTTGCAGTCAGCAAAGTATTTTCCTGTCACTCCCTTGAGTTGAGGGTTCAGTCCTACATAGCAAGTAGTTGCGGCTCCCTGAAAAATGCATATGCAAAATTTCAGAATACAAGTTGCAAAATATAATATTAGATTCATTACTTTCACCATATGACAATGTTTTTTTATTGTTATCACTATGAACAAGAACTGGCTCCAAACATGAAGTGCAAAGATCTGGTTCCAAACCTGGGGTACATTCTTCCACAGTATGTAAGTGGCAACCTGAAGCACCTCTGCAAGAGAAAACAAGGTGCTTCAGAACATTATTGGAAGATAAGTGTTCCTAGCTAAGACCTGAGAACATATATTCTCTGTGAGAAAACAAGAAAAAGAGAGCATACTCATGAGAACAAAGGAATGTCTCATCAAATTGGTCATGATCAATCCAGGATGGACACTGTTAACTGTGATGTTTGCTCCTTCTTCCTGTTTACAAACATAGAAATAATGATGCGTCAGAATAGGATCCTGAAGGATGGCACATAATTTGAGAACCAGGAGTAGGTTTCAGAGTTTTAACCAGTGTCATACATTACAACAGTGAATGTTGATACATAGATCTAAGGGAACTAGAGCAAATAATGTCTGGAATTCATAACGATACAGTATCTATCAAGATCCCTAAGGATATGAAGTTATCTAAATCCCAAAGTTTGCAATGGCTATTGCTTACTAGTTGTCGACTTGCCTCTTACAGTTAGCACCTTATGATACTGAAGCAGGCCAAAGCATCAGGGCCATGATGGACAAATTGTTTCTCTTCAGGTTTCTATCCTTCCCAAACGAATAAGAAAAATGGATAATATTAGGATAACCAAAAAAAATACCTTCAGCCTTCTAGAGAGCTCCTTTGCATGCAGTAAGTTTGCCAGCTTAGACTGTCCATAAGCCATTTTGTCGTTGTATCTGCCAATAAAAGATCATTACTTGCAGTTCAATCAACAGTCAATCCCTACAAAGAACCATAAATACACATACATTTTCTCATCATTGAGTTTATCAAAGTCAATTCCCTTTGGATATGTATGGTGGTGGGCAACTGATGACAAGTTCACAATGCGACCCTCAATACCAGTAGACTTGGCAGTGGCTTTCATAGTATCAAGGAGGAGATTGGTAAGCAGAAAGTGTCCTGATAAAACAAAAGTCAGTACTGGACAATGAGACTCATTTTAGCTGTTTTAAGTAAGACATGTTGTCAGTGGGGGAATACCGAGATGATTGGTCACGAATTGCATCTCAACCCCATCTTTAGACAGTTGAAAAGGGCAGAACATCACACCTGCATTATTTCTGTGGAACAGAAAAGGATTCCTCAAGGCTTAATTCAGTGCAAAGAGGAAAGCGCTACAATTGGCGTGTAAGTAATATACATAAGCTGGAGATAAATTTAACCAAAGCAAAGGAAGCTTTCATATATATCAAAGAAAGTCAAGCATAACAAGAGGTGAAGAGGGTTACATCAGGATGTTCAGAGGAAGTTTCATCGAGTTGAACTGGTCCGCGAAAGCCCTGACAGACTTGAGGGAGCTGAGGTCAAGCTTCAGAACATCAATACGTGCTGTTGGGTTCTTCTCCATGATGCTCTTCCTTGCTTCTGATGCAGCCTCTGTGTTTCTAGCAGCAATGACCACATGGGCTCCTCTCAGGGCGAAGACTCTTGAGGTCTCCAGACCAATGCCACTAGCTCCTCCTGATATATGCCAAAAATTACAAGTTTTAATAAAATTAGGAAATCAATAAATTTTCAACATCTTGGAACTGAGTGCTGGTTGTGATTGTGTTATGTGGCTGCTAGGATTGAGAGGGAGAGAGCTGAGGGAGAGGCGGCGACGGCCGGGCTACAGTACCCGCGGTACTGTTCACGCGAGGGAGGCTGCATGGACGAGACGCGAGGGAGGCTGCATGGACGAGAGGCCGGCCGCGGGGCCTTTGCCCACGGCCGAGCAAGAGGGAAGGGATTTCCTTCTTAATTCTTGCTTGATTAGATCGATACATCTCCTCTCCTTATATAGAGAGGTTTACTTGACTCCCAAGCAAGGCTTACTTGACCCTTAAGTAAGCGACCCTTATCTCTAATTAACCCTAACACTAATGTGCTATACAGCCAACCCAGGCCCAATAGGCCCCTGACGTACTCTAACAGATTGACTTTAATTTTACTTAACTATAAATGATGGCAGTAAAAACTGTAAAAGGAATGCTTACAAACTTGAGAAAAAGAAATGAAATATCCTAAGCCACATGAATAAGAACCATAAACACACAGTTCATGAATAAGAAACAATGCATAAGCTCATGAACTGAATCCTACCAAGCAGAAACTGCTGTAATGGTAAAATCCCAATGCAACCTCCCTTTTAATCCAACCTTGGACTTCCTGAGCATTCATACACCCTTGACCAAAAATTCAGAACTACTCTACTTTCATACATTCCAAGTTCCCAACAAACATAAGTGGCAATGGCATCAAATTTACTCCACTAAAAAAAAATCCCAACAAAGCTTCATGTCCCTCCTTCTCTACCAACAGTTTCATTTTGAATTCTGAAATCAGCAAATGAATCCTTGTCAACTAAATATATGTGTGTATTTACCTTTTATTTGAAAATCAACACGCTAATCTAAAGTCTTTTAGGAAAGCTTCCATGCAAGGATGAAAATTACTGGGATTGATTTTTAATAAATGCAAATAGTCAACGCACAACTAATCCTAGGGAAAAGGAATAGGCGTTCCAACTTTTTTGTGAAGTTAAGCGAACAACTGAGCCCTCAAAATACTATAGTGAAATGAAAAAGATAGAAGATGATAGCCATCTAACTGAAAGGATCCTGCATTGTTGACCTCGTTACACTTGCCACCATATGGAACAACATTGCTGTGAGCAATTATGTGCCAGCAAAGGAGAGGTGGAAATTTGCTCCAGTTCATAAATTGTGGTCTCGTCAGAATAACGATACAGAGACATTGGTGCAGGTTGTTGCTGCCACATCATCTCAGTTCCCAATCACTTTTCTTTGCACATGGAGAAGCAGTTATATGTTGAAAACAAGGTACTTAAGACTTATAGGAAGTCAACAAACTAGTACAATATAATTTTTTTTTAACGCAATGGCAGGAGCTCTGCCTTTCAATTAAGATAGCGAAAGAGAGTTTATGTACAACTAGTACAATATAATGTTGGTGTTATATTACCACTGGTGAGACATTGCCAATTCTGATAAAAGTATATCAAACTACCATGAAAACAAAAGATGCATTGCAACAAAAGCGGGCACAGTTGCCAGCAGTGCTAATTCGAAAAAGATAAGACAACATTACACTATGGACAATTCATTCAAGGCCACACAAAAATGATTGTGCCAAAGGACCACGTGGGCCCAAGCTCAAACTCTCCTTTTTCACGCAAAAAGGAAGAAATATCCATCGTTTAGAAAAAAAGTAAAAAGGAAAATCCATCATCCCACTGTAATGTAACCACAGTGTTGAGTAGGAAACCATCATCTAATATAATAGCTTTTACATTTTTTTTCTCGAACTACACTGGAGAATAATAGCTTTGACTTCTGATGCATATAAGTCTTTCACTACTTGCTCACAGGTTCTAGTGTAATTTTCAGTAAGATGCAGGTCACTGTAAGGAGATGTTAATTAGTTGGTAGTTATATATAGTTGACAGGAAAACTTGGCGTACAGTACATCTCAACATTCACTAGTGCAGTTGTGAGAAAGCTAGTGGCAACAACAAGTTGTTGACAGTCAATTTCGTACACAAAGATATCACTGCAAACTCATAAATCTAGGTCTAAACTGTAAACCCAACCATCTAATGACGAATAGTTCACAAAAAAGGATGTTTCCTTATGAAAAAGCTACCAACACAAACCCCCCCAAAAAAAACGTGAGATTCCACAGTGAAATTACAAACAAAGTAACCAAGCGACAAGTACCAGACTGTGCAAAATGTTGGTGACTACAAAGCATGGTATTCCAGGAAAAAAGTTGACAGCATCAGTAGATTCAGTTGAAATCTAAGCATCAGTAGATTCAGTAGAATTCTGAGAAAGAGAACTAAGCAGGGCACGATGGTGTCGCGCTTTTCAACAACATAATCATTGAAGAGGCAAGATTCCATAATCCATAGACGAGGCTGCATACGCACGTACGGCTCATAAAACAACGACCAGTACAGTTGCGAGAAAACCCAGTGAGACTGTCTCCAACAATCCATGCTCAAATCACAAGACTCATTTCACGTTTGACAGCGCTACCGTTAAAAAGATTCGATACCTATTTTTAGTCTTCTCCAACAACAAGATCTAAAAGAGAATCCTTTTTTCAAATGGGTCTCAACCTCTCTTAACACCTAAAATGGGTCTTCTATATAGGTACTCTGTTGGCTACAGATATTATGTTGGAGACCCATTTTAAGTTTGGGTCTCCTTGTGGGTCTCATGTTGGAGACAGTTGACAACGTGTAACCAGCAATTAATTCAGGGGTGCGCATCTGACCTGCGACGCAAATTAGTAGTGGCAGGTGAAGATCTACCCACCCCTCCTTATCAAGCGCCCAAAAAGGGAAGTTGTCGAGAATCTAAAGCAGCGGCAATCACAGAGGAAATAAAACCGGCTAATTTCAATTTCATCAAGTCAAGCAACATAACAGCAGGAAGCACCACACATTCACCAACGCAAGAAACAGTATGTTCTAGCATCATCATCATTATAGAAGAGGAATCTTCTTTTCTACGAATCTGCCGGTGGTTTAACGGATTACCTGTGATAACGACGGTGAGGCGGCTGGCATCGACGCTGTCGGTGACCTGCTCCGCCGTGGACGCGGACCCGAACCCGCTGGCGCCCGCCTTGCCGGTGATGAGCGAGAGGATACCCATCGCCGCCGACTGAATTCTCTTTCTCTACTCCAGTAAAGAACGATCTGAACCCCCGGCCCAACCAAAGCAAACTCCCAACTGCAGCCAAGAAGAGAACGAAAACAAGAGGTGAGCCAACGAAGATATAGATAGACAACCAAGAAGTGCAAGAATCACGGAAATCTCGGCAATGCCGGCACCACCGCCGCACCTCGACTTGTTTATTGAGGCGGGAAGTGGAGCGGAGGGCGGAAACGGGAGCGGTGTGCATGGGAAGAGGGCGGAGGGAGAGGGGTGAGGTTATTTATGGTTGGGGGACGCGGGTAACAGTTTGGTTGGGGAGTAGGAGGAGCGCAACGCCAACGCGGGCGCGGGGCGGGGAGGGGAGCGAGACGGAGAGCACGGAGGCGGCCGGCCGGAAAGGGATTGGACTCCGATCTGCTGGTGCGAGGTGTCCCTGCCTCGTGATTCTGCGGGGGTTCTTGTCTTGGACACCAAGGGACAGAGAGCTCTCTAGGAACAGACAGGATAACGAAATGTCTTCGATTTTTTTTTTCACCGGGAAAGAAAAGAAAAAGAAAAAGAAAAGAGCTTCAGAGTTCAGACCGAGAACCACCACATGAGAATTCCTTCTTCTTCTTCTTTTTTTTGCGCAAGCACATGAGAATTCCTTTCGTTTTACAGCCGGAGCTGTTCATGAATCACGTGACTCATTCTCGCTCTGTGTTTCTAGTTGTTGTTACTTTAGAAGAGTTTATGACGCGATGTAAACTTGGTATAGGAGACAGGCTAGGGATCAAATCACACACATTTTTTTCCTCTGTAAGAAAAAAACAAGGGTTTCAGAGTTGAGATGAGACGAGTTGGTCTTTTCACAGTGATTTCTCTTTTCTCGTTTTAAGAATCGGAGTTTTACGACGAGACTTGGTACAGGAAACAGATGATTAGGGATCAAGCACATTTTTAAAACACGGATTTAAGTCACGCATTAAGATTTATAAGTCAATCATAATCCCTTTCTCACTCGGTTCCTATTGGAACAACGTAGTGGATACGTGTTCTAGAGAAACGATTTTATAATACACTGAACAATGTGTTAATTACCTGTTTGGTTAGTAATAAGGATTCTCCAAGCTGTAGTACCTGCAAAACGACTATAGCTCTTATATACAGAAACAAAAAAAAAACAGAAAACACTATTTTCACTTGAAAATCAGAATTACTTGTAAACGCACCCTAAGGTGTTGTATTAGTTCTTCTGCTTTGCCTATATTGAGAAATGATTGCGTAAAAAAAAATCTGGATTCGTGTTGTACTGGAGAGAACTTGTCAGGTCTCCTTATAAAAGAATTTAATTGAGTGTGCAAAGTCTGTTTTTAGGTTGACGGAGACATTAAACTAAATCCTTGTTAACCGTGATTGGGGTGGGAATCGAACCTTGAGAGTGCCTTCTATCCGCTTTATTTTTCTTCATCGGAATATTTATGACGCGCAACAAGTACCATTAGATTAATAACATAATATATTTTTATAATAAACATATTAAGAATGTATAAAAATATTAACTTTTTGAGATGTATAGTTATTTTGGAATGGAGTACAAACTTAGAGTGTTATCATAAGTGTTAAACGATAAACAGACGGTCACTTGCTGTTTAGCCATCAGACAGGTAAAACGGATGTTTAAATGAAAATGATGTATCACTATATGACATTTAATTAAATGATGTGCAAACGAGCTAAACGACTGTTTTAGACTAACAGCATATGAACACGTACGTGGTACTGAGGAAGGGTGTTTCTTCCCTTTTTTTTGTGCTCGGTTTGCCATTGTTTTTGTCACTAGTAGTTTAGAGAGATCACTATGGATATTTTTACAAATATAAATTCTCCATTATTTTAGGCTGTGCTGCGTGCATCTCACATTTGGCGCTATTTAGGGCCAGGGGGGGTATTTTGGATCATGGATTGTGTTTCTGATTTATGTCTTTGGTTAAATGATGAATTATTGTCTGCTCCGAGAGCATGACAAAACAAAATGAATTACTGAGAGTACTAATCTATTACTCTTATAAAGATAAACTCCACTACCCTATTTTATCTTATACCAGAGAGTGCCACGTCATCCTTTTAATTCCCACCATTGCTGCTGATTATCCTAGCTGTTTGATGGTGATTAGTAGTAGTCACGTCATCTATGGGGCCTGACGTCCAGCCTTCCACCGATCGACCCATCACTTATTAGACACTCACGTCACTTGAACACCACCTCCTGCCTCTTGCGCTCCCCATCTCACCACTACGTGCTCCTATTTACCAGAATATCAAGTGAGATTTTTATAAGAATTGTAGTTTCATCTTCTCCCAAGTAACGCATATGTTGTCCCTTCGTGTCTCACATTCGTAGACAGATGAGCAACCACCACACGATCTCTTCTATTTAAACAAGCATCAGTCTTCGACTACGCAGACAAAAAATAATTCTGAGGTTCATTCACCTGCTATAGTGCTACCTCACACTCCGACCGTCAGTACATTTCGCATCTCTCCATTAAGAAAGATAATGGAGGATCAGAAAAACATCTTAATTTTGTTGCATCCATGTCTTCTTTGCTAACAACAAAAACAGTATTTCCATTCCAAGATGCAGCTGGAATCCTCCTATGGTCCTTTCCATCACTTTTCCGTCAGTTCTCCCAAGATGATAGCCGGTAGATACATGGCCGTGAATCCCGTGATGAATGAGCTCAAGGAGTTTGTGGAACTCTCAAAGGCAAATCTCTGGGTGAAGACATCATCAAGCAACTGCCACATGACCATCAAATTATCACCATTAGTAACATCAATAAGTGAGAATCCTACCAGCATGTCATTTTCAGCGAGCTAGCAGGACACACAAAAATATTAAAATTTTCTCATGTACCTATTATTAATTCTGTCATGTTTGGAGAATCAGTTTATTTCTCTATATAACCACATATTTGTACGCACCGTAGTAAGTGCTTTCTTACAATTTAACTTATATGATCTTAAGTTTTTCTCCGCTTCACTCAAGCAACATAATTTTTACTACTAAAAAACTTCAATGGAGTTATCCTCTCATATTTTTCCATGAGATCCCAAATATTATTCTCATACTACAGTATTCTAATTAAATATCCAACTAATTTAGTCTTTGCTTATCTGAAATTCATGTCTTTGAATTCCCACATCAACGCGCGAGGAATTCATCTAGTTACGTGTATGCGTATATACCTTTTTGGAAAAATTTATGCGTATGTACCTGACAAATGGAAGCACGCAAGGGGCAACAACGAGGGAACACACGTACACTATTACTAGTAGATACTAGTAGATTTCATCCAATCATCGTGGAGAGAGAGAGAGAGAGAGAGAGAGAGAGAGAGAGACATCAGGCATGCAAGCCATGCATGATTTTCCATCCACATGGGCTGTAGGGCAAGGCATTGAACCTGTTCCATGTGCGGCTGCGGGCAAAAACTAGTAGCAGCTTATCCAGGGGGCGATGCGATGCGAATGCCATCACGGTCACAGCTCAGAGCTCACACCACGGCACCACGCCACCACCCCGGCCCGGCCCCACACTAGCTACTCGGCGGCCGGCATACTGGCTTCAGTAGCCACCCACCAGTCAGTCACCCAGCACAACATGCAGGAAAACGTGTAGGAGGCTTCTTCGACCTCCTGACAGCTTCAGTCTCTTCTTATGGTGCATCTATGGCAAAAAATCTCCAGGGGGCACTCATGGTCATGGAGTACTAGGTAGGAGGAGAGCATATACTCCTACTCCATGTTGCAGAGGCGTCGTCTCATGGCTTTCAAGAACCGGCCGGCCGGGAAGGGCTGCGTGGGGAGATGAGATCAATGCAAACAAATCTGAGACGACTCGGAGGGCATGGCCGCCATGGCGACAAGCATGGGCTGGACCCGGACCTGGACTGGAGTGGTATCCATCCATCTGCATAGCCTAGCTTCCACGTACGCCTCAACGTACCTCATCCACGACGACGTTTGCTCCTAGCAGCATAGACGGCCGAAATCATTGGAGGAAGGAGAGGACACACGCTGCGATGCAGTGCCGCACTGTATGTCCGGCCTCTTGGCGTTCAGGCCTTCAGGGCCTCGGACACTGCCGGACTGCCGCCTCTGCGTCTGCATTGACGGGGATTAAAAATAAATAAAAAAACTCTAGCCAATACATGAACGAACAGGAGCACGTAGAATTTTCGTTGCATCGGCGATCGACAGAGCTTTCTAGATGCAGAATGGATGGTTCCGTCCCACTCCGATCCCCACGGGGTAGGCCAAATTAAAGGCAGTGAACGCACACACACAAATAGTACCACAAGGCTGAAGGCTCCATTGCCGTGCGGCCAGCTCCCCCAGCATCGATCGATCTGCATCGAAATCTTGCTGCCTCGCACGGAGGTGCGCGTCCGGATTCGAGACCGGACGAGAACGATCCACTGCCAACCGCTTGGTGGTCATGTGTTTGCATTATTGGTTCTAGTCTCTCGTAGATGAACTGATGAAGTGGCTTAAGCCAATCTCAATGGAAGTTTCGTAGAGTTTCATGGATATTAAACATGTTGACATGACACTCCCTCTCCCCCCAACCCAACCGCCAGGAAGAAGAGATGATGATGAAAGTTTCATGGAAGAAGGAACAAGGAGAGAGAGAGGAAGAAGGAGGATGGAGGGGAGGATAAAGAAAAGAAGGAGGAGAAAAGAAGGGAAGGAAGTTTTCAAAAAGGATGAGTGTGTTGAAAATGAGCCATAAAACCCCAATGAGACTGGCCTTATTATAAGCTATTAATGCTGAACCTCACTGCTCCGGATATTCAGGCAGGCTTTTTGTGACCAAACAATGCGACTTTTCTTTCAGCTAATGCCTAATGCTATGGGAAGTGGGGAAAAAATGAGCCACTAGTTCGTTCAGGCATGAGACAGACAGAATCATCTCCTCGGCAATTACTGTAGTTCAGCCAGAATGGTCATCTAGGGCCGGCGTATTTATGATTGTGGTGATTCCATCTTGTTTGTCAAGTATGTGGTCTTAGTAGGTCTCATCTCATGGATACCAAGAGTACGTGAAAAGCCGCATGCAGCAGCCGATCGAGGCAAAGATCGGACCAGACTGAACAAGTCCTATGAAAAAAAGGTTCCTGGTTGATCACTACTTCCTGTGGACAGATCTAATTTGGACCTTGCGTCCTTCCAAACAGAAGCCTGCTGATTTCGATGGTTCATCAGATCACTTAGCTTGTAGAGTAGTTTAAGTTACAGATAATCGATCTCAGGCACCAGGCAGGTAATCGAGCTAGCTAGCTAGCCATGCTGCCCATGCATCATGGTGTCACTGCTAAAAGCAATAAGGTGGATCCTCTCCTCTCCTATCACTGTGGGACTCTTAATTATGAGCAACCATATTAACCTCAGCTAGATCTGAAGAGCCGCTAAATAAATGGCTGCAAAGTTGGGTGAGGAATGAAACAAAACTGAGCTTAATAACTGGCTCACCAAACCAGGAACATACATGTAACATCCCCCCTAAAGGGCTGAACTGAATAGCGCTGGCCGCGGCGGGTACTGCTGTAGCATCGCGGAGCACTGTTCATCCGAGGTTTAGTACACACTGGGAACCGACGGACGGTCAGACCAGCTTGAACAAACTGCAGCAAGCAACTTAATTAAATCAGACCATGACAATGACCTCAAAACGGATGACGCAAGATTTGTATCTCAAGATCTTTAATATCTGTATCTCCCCTTTACACCCAATCAGGACCTCAACTGCAGTAGCACACACACAAATAGTACCACAAGGCTGAAGGCTCCATTGCCGTGCGGCCAGCTCCCCAGCATGAACTCGATCTGCATCGAAATCTTGCTGCCTCGCACGGAGGTGCGAACATTCGAGACCGGACGAGAACGATCCACTTTTTCCGCTTGGTGGTCAAATCATTATTGGTTCTAGTCTCTCGTAGATGAACTTATCGAAAGTTTCGTAGAAACCATCAGATTGATGAAGAGAATAAATAGCTCAACTTCCATCTAACACAAAGCATTTGTAGTACGCCACTAGGCAATCCGGCCTTCTGGAGTCTGGACTGACATCAAAATCCCCCTAGCTTGTCCTAGCAGCGTGGACTGTTGGCTGAAATTTGGCAATTACTGTTTCATGCATCTAGATTTGATTGTGGTGATTCCATCTTGTTAAAAGGTCTCATCTCATGGATACCAAGAGTACGTGAAAAGCGTTCATCGGACCAGACTGAAAAGTCCTATGGCTCAAATCGTTCAAGCGAACAGGGCGATTGGAATTTGGAGAGGAAAAAGGAGGCAGAGACAGATGCTTCAATGCAAATTGCAGTGCCATGTGTCCGGCTCCGGCCGGCGTCTTCCTTCAGAGCTCGATCGGACACTAGTTCAGCAGACAGCAGGTAGCATGGCACCTGCATCTGCATCTGCATTGACGTGGAGCGCTTCAGCTTTTGGTTTTTTTTTCCTTGTAGTCAGTTAGATGGAAGTTCTAATTAAGGAGTTCCTTGATCGATGCTCGTCCGGATTGGAGACCAACCATCTCAATGCTGAAGCTTAACGAGACGCGCGGAGGCGACAGGTGAGCGAGCGTCCGGATTGGAGACCGGACGAGAACGATCCCAGATCCAAGTTCTAATTAAGGCCCCGTTCGCTTACAGTAGAATCACCCCAGAAATTAATCTAACTGATAAAGTTTATACAAATTTAGCTAACATTCCAGCCAGGATTTTTTCCAGGTGATCATTCCAGGTGAAACGAACGAGGCCTAAGGAGTTCCTTGATCGATGCTCACTACTCCAAAACAGGAACCTGCTGGTTTCAATGGTGCTGGTCTTTCACCACCAGCTAATCGAGCTAGCTAGCCATGGTGTCACTGCTGCGCTAGCAGCAATAACGGCTGCACAGCACAGCAAGCTCGCTAGGCTGATCTCATCGCAAAAAATACTCTGGCGTCCGGTTTGGTGACCGAGAGAAATCCCATCCAAGCTCTAATTAAGGAATCGATTCACTACTCCAAAACAGGAACCTGCTGGTTTCAATGGTGCTGGTCCATCACCACCAGCTAATCGAGCTAGCTAGCCATGGTGTCACTGCTGAAGCAGCAATAAGGTACGTGGATCCTATCCTATCACCTATCACTGTGGGACTCTTATGAGCAACCATACTAACCCCAGCTAGATCTGAAGCAAGCACTAAATTAAATGGCTGCCTGCCAAGTTGGGTGGAGAAACGAAACGAAACTGAGCTTATCATAACTGGCTCAGGGGAGGGTGCTGGTCGGGATTGTCAAGTGACCAAACTCCGGAAACGGAGGTCCCCGGGTTCGAGCTCCGGGTGGCGCTCTCACTGGGAAGGTGAGGGACGGCACCGGCCAGACTAGAATCTGGTCCACTAATTAAATAGCTTCCAAATTGAAGCCGGGGAGGGTACCCCAGCCTCTGCCCTCTATAACATAATAACTGGCTCACCAATCAGGAACATACACAACCTCTGGCTTCAGATGGGCATACTATTGACAGCTACACTAATCACACGTACTCCTACATACTGTACATATGGTACCCTTGTTGCCAACTATGAGCAGGAGTCTTACCAAAAAGGACTGGATACTAAAGGGGAACAACCGTGCAGACTTTGCCCAGTAGCAATAAATAAATGGATGAAAATTTGGGTGAAGAATAATGGAAGTTATACCTTTTCACCTGCCAACACAGAAGAGTATTTGTTATAGAATGAAGATCAGAAGATAAGATTTCGAGCTGTCTGTCAGTGGTTATTACCAAACTAGCTAGTCATTGCAAGAAAACTCTGGGTAAAGATTAACGCAAAAGAGAGAAATGCATGGGCTTTGGGTAAAAGTAGGGCTTTGGGCAAAAGAGAGAACCTGCTGGTTTCAATGGTGCTGGTCCATCACCACCAGCATTTCTCTCTTTTTTGCTGACAGACACTAAAAGCTGAGGTGACCTGTCGAACCTTCATAAAGCACTGAAACTGGGGCGTGCATCAGTGTCTGTCAGCAAGATTAGGTCAGTCTAAGCCCTAGTAAGGAGGAGCATGTGGGATTGTGGGCCAACAGCACAGTACTTGACTACAGTATTTTCAGTGTTTCTGAACCAAGCTCTGCCTTCATTCTTTTGCAGCCAGATCTTGGAGTAAAATATGACCACAGTATATCAAGATTATAACCCAGAATCTGTACCAGGTGTACTGAACATGTAAACAAGGGTCGCGCTAAATGAAGTATTCGCATGAAGCATTCCATGCTGCATGAAGAAGTGAATGAAGACTTTGCACCGGTCACTGGACTTAAGATCAACTTCTCCAAAAGCACTCTGGTGCCCATGCACGTTCCTAAGAACCGCCTTCAGCGCGTTGTGCGTATCCTGCAGTGTCAAAAGGGGTCCTTCCCACAAGTATACCTAGGTTTGCCTCTGTCCAATGTCAAGTTGAATCTCGCCGCTTTCACCCCGCTCATCTCCAAAGTGGACCGTCGGCTTGCTGGGTGGCAGTCAGCCCTCCTGAACCACCAAGGGCGGCTTGTCCTCATCAATTCGGCACTTGACGGCCTTGCAACCTATATGATGCAAGCTGTGGCCCTCCCACCGGGAGTGATCGCGGCCATTGACAAGAAACGGCGTGCCTTCCTCCGGGCTGGAACAGATAAGACCTCAGGAAGCAAATGCCTAGTACGATGGGAGGTTGCCCAGAAGCCAAAAGTTGAAGGAGGATTGGGGGTGCGCGATCTGGCTACACAGAACGCCTGCCTCCTCCTTAAACTGCTGCATCGCCTACACCATCCAGAAGAGTCAGCATGGGCAGCCTGGGCACGGCAACACACAGACCTATCAACACTGGAGGGGGCCAATGACGGTAACCACTGGGATGGCCTGAAATCTCTACTGCCAGCATACAGATGTATAACCAAGGTCGTCATTGGAGATGGTGCATCTACGACGTTCTGGTGGGATTCATGGACAGAGGGCACCACGCTGGCACTCAAATTTCCCTGCCTACTCAGTCACTACACTCAGCCAAATGTTTCAGTCAGGGAAGTATGCATTCGCGGCCTTGCGACCATCCTGGTGCCGCGACTCTCTCCCCAGGCATGCAGCGAGAAGGTTGAGGTCGAGGCTATCATCGCTTCCATCAACCTACAACAGCAGCCAGACGAACGCTCCAGCAAGTTTACTTGCACGGCGAACAGGCTGGACACCGGCAGCATATACCGTGTCTCGACACACTCCGGACAAGTCAGTATGATCGACAACTTCGTCTGGAAAAGCCGTGCTCCCCACCCCCGGGTTCGGTTCTTCAGTTGGTTGCTGCTCCATGAAAGAATTCAACCTCCACAACAAAGCATGTCCTGGATGACGACATTTGCGAACTCTGTGGCCAATCCACTGAGACATGTGACCATCTCATCTTCCAGTGCACGGTCGCTAGATCTTTTTGGAACCACCTTGGATGGAGAGACCTGTCTATCCCTCCTGTCAACAGGCTCTGGGAATTGCCCAGGCCGGCTGAGGTGCCATCAAAGCTCTTTTCTACAATGATTCTCCTCTGTTGCTGGCAAATTTGGAACCATAGGCACGACGTCGTCTTCCGTCAGCAACAACCTTGCCTTCGGCAGCTGCTTGCTACTGCCAAAGAAGCATGTCGCCTCTGGAGCTGCCACCTAAAAGTCGAAGATCGATGGATAGTTGACATGTGGTGCGCAATGTTTGTAATGAACTAAGCTCTCCTATCTCCTCATTTGTAATCTAAATATGATTAGGGGTCCTCGACCTTGTAGGTGCCTTGGCATCCTCCATCCACCGGCTCGCCGGAATCAATGGAAAATCCATTCAGGTGAAGCTCTCACCCCTCCGGTGATGTCTTCAGGAAAAAAAAAAAGTGAATGAAGACCTCAGAACCCGAGAATGAGGAGTGCAAACTACTGATCCCACTATCCAGGGAATGTAACAGTACAAAGTACCAAGCAATATATTGATTGCTTCCTTGGTAGCAGGTACTCCCTCCGTCCACTCAAAAAAAATAATCAATTCTTGTTTTTCAAAGAGTTAAACAGTATATACTTTGACTGAATGTATATAAAGAGTACAAACATTTATGATACAAAATAAGTGTTATTAGATTAGTTATAGAATATATTTTCACAATAAATTTATTTAAGATATAAATGCTAATACTATTTATTTACTATAAACTTGATGAAACTTTAGTTAGATGAACCGGCACGGATACCATTGTTGCATCTTTTGTGGACGAAGGGAGGTAAAAACTGGCAGCAAGCAACTTAATCCCAACGGAGACCATGTCCTCCAAACGGATGACAGAAGATTTATATCTCTTGATCTTTACAGTCATTCAAGTTAAGCTCAACGCAGTCCAAAAAAAATATAAATCAAAGGCCTGGATCAATTAGTGTGACTGGTATCCAGCAACCCAAGTAAACAAAAAGTAGCAGGAGGCAGCTCAACTTCCATCTACGCAAAGCAAGTAGTACTACTGGGCAATCCTTCTGGAGTCTGTCCATAGTCCGTCCAAAGATTTTGAAGATGAATGGGTGCAGGACACTGCAGATGAGTTCCTGAGAAACGAAGCCAGAAATGCACATGCTCTCCTTCATTACCATTTTACTTGTTCCTCTTCCTATATCAACAACTGAACGAACACAGCAGCTTATACAGGACATGCTGTTTGGACAAACGCATAAGCTGCTACTACTTACTACAACACTGCTTGCGCAAACGAAAGAAAATGAACAACAACAACAACACAAGGTGCTACTAGTTGGGCTGCCACGTCTTCATTCACCATGCGTTCTCCGGTGACTGGGCCGCCTCAGTTTCTCCCAACTAGACACCAGCAGGTTTAGGATGTAGTAGTAGACAGTCATGGCACAGATCATCACGAAGTTCCAGCAAGAGGAAGGCCAGTACCACGGATACAGCAGCCGGAAGAACAGGCTGATCACATGCCTTGGGTAACGACCGATCTGTAGCCAACCAACAACCCCATGATGACCAACCAGGAGAGGCATCATATTATCCTTTTACCAAATTATAGTGGTGAATTGAATAAATGAAGTATGTGGATCAATCTAAGACAGTTTATTGGCAACAACGGAGAGGCAACCACATAGAGAAAGCAAGCAATGATTGGTTGATTGCAAAAGGGCTCTGCCTATTAATCTATGACATTCCTAGCCTTAATCACCAGGTCTGTTTGGTATCACAAAAACACAGTATATCATCTAGACATCTACTTCAGCATTTTTTGCTACATATGCGTCCACTGGAAAAAATATGTATCACCAACATAGATGTATCAAATAAAACCATATTTACTTTCAAGGCAAATTGCCATAGGAACAAATAGTACTGTGAATTCATAACTGTACTAAGATTGGAGAAAATGCGGTACTCACAGGGAACAGCAAATCCAATGTATTCCAGGCTGCATGCCGCACCGCACGTGTTGGGTACGTAGGGCCACCAGGAGAAGTGAAGCTGTAGAGGCAGGCCTTTAATCTGGTGCTTGTACTCAATCTCAGTTCCAGCCCTGCATGAATTAAGTCATTGCTTAAATAAAATTGACCTTGCAGCAGATGAACGGAATCATAACATTAGTGTGTGCCTGACTCCTTTGGAAACATATCCAGGGTAGTTAGTACCTTGAAGTATGCTCATGCGGGAGAGGTAGTGCAGTAGTACTGGCTCAATTTTTAGCTTTTGAAGCTGCAGTGAAGACCAAAGCAATTAGTTTTAGCTGATGATGATACATCTCGTCATCAGATGAACAGAATAGCACATCTGTATCACAAAGAGACCAACCAGATCAGTGAGTTCAATTACAAAGTAATCTGCTGGTCCACCAACCAAGAAGGAATTTGGAAAAGTGGGGAAATGCTCTAGGAAACCCCAACTTGTTTGAGACTTAAAGGCTTTGTTGTTGTTGGGGAAATGCTCTAGGAAACTAGAAAGCAAGGGATCTGCATACCCAAAATTGCAACACTTTAGTAGTACATAATAAGCATTCGGCCTTAAGAAGATACAAAAAGGGCACCTACCTTGATCATAGAAGAACATGAATCTAGAGAGCAGAAGGAAAAGGTCTCTACCAGCCTATGGAGTAATGATGAAAATTGTTAGGAGAAAAGAAGTACAGTAGAACTATGAAGAAAGAGAATAACCTGTAATGATATTTTAGTAAGTCGGTCAGGGACTAGAGCAACATCCTCAAGGAGATACTGTTCAATAATAAAAGAAAAAAACGTAAGTGGTGCAAATACACATGGAGAGTGGAGAGTAATTTCGAAATGAGATAAATCATGAGGAATCAAGCCAGCGCTTACATGATACAAAGAGAGAAAATGTCTTGTATTTGTCTGTATGTCAATCCTATCAAAAAAAATATTATTTAGACAGTGGCAGTTTCAAGCAGAAAAAAAAAGAATAAAAGAGAACCACGATATGTTCTCAACTGTAGCAGAAAATAGCTGAGGTTAAAAAAACATTAATAATAATGATGGCTTTTTATTTTTGCAATCATACCAAAATACATTTGTAGCACCTTGAACAAGAGCAGAGCTATATCGTAGCGATATTTCCTTTTCATCAAGAGGGGCTTCGAACAACTACATAACAAAATTGTAATTAGTAAAAAAAAAGTTTAAATATCGATGTACCTATATTGGGAGAACCATATCTTTTCAAGGAATAATCAATGGAAAATCAAATTATATTTTATTCCATCCTGAAATTAATTTTTCTGACTGATGGTTGATGTTACATGTCAACCTAAACTGCATGTTTTCTTTTCTGATAACTTAATGATTACTTTAAAGGATATGAACTCGAAATAGAAACCATGGTATGTTAATAATGTAATTGGGCCTGTATATACATCCTCCGACCATTTGTTAACTGAGTAACACAGCATACCCATTTGTGGAAAAGAAGTGCAAATATGTTGGCCGCGAAGGACTGGCTCCAGAGTTGCACTATCAACTCAAGTATACGCCTGCCACTTTCAGGCACTTTAACAAAATGATTTGCAAGAATCTCATAGAAGCATAGCCAACCATCTTCCCGTTCATCTACTGGAGCAATGCCATCATCATTCTCACTCATAATCGCATCTGCTGAAGTATAATGCAGTTCATTATTCTAGGATTCAGGAAACGGCACACAAGTGTGCCTCAGGGTCTATAAAAATCAGCAGTGAATGTAGACCGCATAATCTTAAAAGAATTTATTTATCATAAGAGGAAGTTGTGACTTAATGTAAAGAGATTATACAACAACAAAATATAGTACGTTGTCGACTCAAGGAAATCCAAAATGCAACAAATGTGTTACTATTGTAGTATTGTTGCAAGTGAGAAATTGGTTAAATTCCTTTCAATTGCTCTGCTCATCCTATGTGATAATGTGAATGTGCCAACCGAATGTATTGCCTGATGAACATGTCTATAGAAACCATGGAGCACACAATCTGAGCTCAATCCTAGTAATTAGCATCACATAAACATAAGATAATGATACAGGTTGTCACTTTCTGAAGCAGAAATAGTGCATGTTATACCAGTTCAAAGCAGCCAATATGAGAACAGCAGACAGATGCAAAGAACTTACTATTCCATCAAAAGATACATTTTGTCATGAAATGAATCGATAGTCTAGTGTATCTATCTCAATATAACAATTTGGAAATGGCATGTTCACAACATCTGTTCTATTATTTCCTTTTTGACTACCATATCATCATAGTTGCAAGCCCATACAACTTCTGCTGTAGCAAAAGCAACTTGCAGAGTACTTCCAAGTTCCAAGCAATATTATCAATAGCAACTTATCAAGCATTAAGCATCTAATATATATGGAAAGAAAAGACCGAGGAAATTAGCAGCCAAAAGTATGCAAAGATATGGCACCTCGAGCACGATCATCCACCTTCAATACAATGTCAGCAAACAATTGCTGAAGTATCTGAAGATGCTGTGAGTTGGAGATCAGAGCCTGCATGGAAGATAGTCAACCAGGTGACATTATGATCTTTTTTCATTAAGGAAGCTTTATTGAAAACAAGATTATTGCATCTAGTAAAGTAAGTGATACAATTATTTGAAATAACTTCCAACCTCTGCATATCAAGATGTACACAGCCCTCAAAGTTTCAGAAGGTGACATTATGATCTCAACCACTCAACAACGGAATATAGACAGTGTATATATATATATATATATCTTACACAGATGTGTCACCTATCAGTGAAACGACTCTTGTTACCTAAATCGTTTCAGATAATAATATTGGCCTTTTTTACATCAAAACCACAATATATGCAGCGAAAAAGGGATATTTGAAAGGACAGTCAATGCTACCAAAAAAAAAAAGGTGGTTTGGGGGTAATCTGCGAGAGTAACAGGAGCAGCCGAGCAGGTGAGAATAATGTCCATTGTCCTCCTGTGTGCCGTCGCCATCGCCGCCGCCCACAGCACGGTGCACCCAGACGCGACCCTGTCTGCTTGCGCGGAGCCACCTCGCCTAACCTACAGTCTACGGCCGCCACAATCCCCCCGCCCGCCCTCGAATTTCTCGCGAAGCGACGTGAGCGAATGCGCGCTGGAGAGATTGAGCCTCGGATTAAGCGCGACGAACACAAATTGACGGAATATTCAGCAAGACTACGATACGAGCACCGGCGCCGGAACAACAGGCGCCGCGAAATCAGAGCAGCGAGCGCGCTGAGCCGAGCCGAGCCAGCGCACGCGGGGGAAGCGGTGGGTTACCTTCTGCAGCTTGCGCTCGATCTCGAGGGAGAGCGCCTCGAGGCGGTCGGAGGAGCCGCGGCGCCCCATGTCCGCGCACGCCGGGGGGTGATCGGCGGGCGCCGCGGGCGGTGGCCGTTCGGCGGTGGTGGTCCTGCAAATTAAGAGAAGCGGTGGAACTGGTCCAAAATAATCGCTCCTCTCTCCTCTCTCCTCCGTGTTTGATGGCTGGATGGATGGATATGGATACGGACGTGGAGGCCCGGATCTGCCGCCGCTGTCACGCTCGCCGACACGTGCCGCCCGTCGGACCTGCGACGCCCGGTTGCCTTCGCTTTGCTGTCCTCCTGTCCGGTTGCCGACCACGAGCCCAAGCATCCAGAGTCCAGACCCCACGCCCACAGGGCCAAGCTCCGTCTGACCGTCTGAGTTTTTTTTTTTTTTCAAATTTGCGTTTGTAAGAATTCAAGTCTGTAACTGAAAATGCAATGCGTAGAATTTAGCAATTCTTTCACAAATTGAACCACGCATACAGAAGCGCATGCATACAAAAAATCTCGCAACAAGCAGATGAAATTTCGATTTACTTTTGGCGCATTCGTGAGAAAGACTAGCCGCTCGCCGGCGATCCGCCGCGGCGCCTCTGAACTTTGGACTGCCCATGAATCCGTAAGGCCCAGACCCAGACGTATGTTTCCCAGCCTGTGCTGCTGATGGGACAGGCTCATTCGTGTGCCGGGCTTCATTGATTGGCCCATTTAAAATTATCCTATAATCACATTCAAAATCAGAACAAGAGCAGAAGAACAAAACAGTTTTTTCTTTGGGATTGGGAGGCGGGCGCAGGGGGATCAAGATGGATGAAAGTTTAAATTAAGTCGATAGAGCTTGAGAAAAATCATCAAAAGTTTTATTCACACAAAAGCAGTTTGATGGATTCCCATCTGTGCTATATAAATAAACCAAAGAGACAAAAAATATGTCATCTTCCTCTATTCTCCGTGAGTCCGTGTGAACGGACAACAACAATGCATGATGTCTATGACACTATATATACACATGCATGGAAGGTGCAGCTAGCCTACGCGCACCAGCCTCCATCACAACCCCGCAGGGCTGCCGCCCTTCCTGGGGTCGCTCACGGCGGTGAGCCTCCCGCGGAAGACGCCGTGGCCCGGCGCGGCCGGCGGCTCCGCCAGCTCGTGCACGATGAACTGGCATACGGCGCCCGATTCCGTGCTCCTCAGCCAGTGCCCCCTCTCCTCCAGGAACGCCCTCGCCGCGCCGCTCAGCGCGATCACCTCGCCGCCGGGCACCGTCAGGTTCTCGTACGTCACCACGTTCGGGATCAGCTGCAGGAAAAAGGAACAGCACATTGTTCACTCGTCGAGCGAAGCAGGGCCTTGCCATGGCCGTCCTGACTGTGTTTGATTGATACCTTGTGGTACACCCTGGGCTGCTGCACGGCGGCCAGAGGGTCCATGCCGACGACGAAGTGGTTCAGGAACACCTGGGTCACCGTGGCGATGATGTTCGTGCCCCCGCTGCCTCCGAGGACGCCGGCGAGCTGGACGTTCTGCGGACAGGTCCAGGGCTTCCATTTCAGTATGAAGCGAGACGTGCTCGTGCCGTCAGAACGACGACGGAGTGATGCGATGCAAGCCAGACGGCGGCACGTGAATTGTACCTTGAGTATGATCAGCGGCGTCATGGAGGACAGGGGCCTTTTCCCAGGCGCTATGAAGTTGGCCGGCGCGGGCGGGAGGTGGTCCGGCGTCCACTTCGCGGGGACGGAGAAGTCGTCCATCTCGTTGTTCAGCACGATGCCCGTCGACGGCGACAGCACCTTGGCGCCGAAGTAGTAGTTCACGGTCGTCGTCATCGCCACCGCGTTCCGGTCGCCGTCCACCACGCACAGGTGGCTGGTGCCGTGGTCATCCAGCTGCCTCCATCTGATGCCAGTGCCGCAAACCACAACAGAGTTCATTAATCTCTCTGATGACCGTTGCAATTGACGGAAGCAATGTAATTAGGTAGGCATACTTGGGGAAGTAGTAGCCGGGAGGGAACGTCGTGTTGTCCACGATCCTTTGCCGGACTTTGTCGGCGAATGGCCTCGACAGCATCGCGGCGACGTCGCCGGTCACGTTCACGAAGTCGGGGTCGCCGAGGTCCATCCGGATGGCTAGCATGTGCTTGATGGATTCGATGATCCGGTGGATGCCAAGGAACCCCTTCAAGAACTCGAGCGATTTGTACCCTTGCAAGATGTTCAGGATCTGCATCGATCATACGAATGAACCAAGAAAAAAAAATAAATGCACGTCGCTTCTCGCATTTGAATCGATCGAATCGTTGCAGCAGGAGCAAGCACTGACCAGTGCCATCCCGACGGTGCCGCTGGACGGCGGCGGCATGCCGAGGAAGGTGTACCCCATGGCGTCGGCGCGCATGGCTTCGCTCACCTCCACCTCGTACCCTCTGAGGTCGTCCACCGTCAGGATCCCGCCGGCCGCCCTGACGTCGCGGACCAAGTCCTCCCCGACGGCGCCGCCGTAGAGCGCCGCGGCGCCCTCCTCCGCCACGCGCTCCAGCGTGGCCGCGAGCGCCGGGTTGCGGCACGTCTCCCCGGCCGCCAGCACCTTCCCCGCCGGCGCGAACACGGCGCGCAGGCCGGGGTCCGCGAGCACGGCGTCCTCGCTCTCCCTGAGCGCGCGGGCCACGTACGCGACCACCTCGTAGCCGTCCCGGGCCAGGCGGATCGCCGGCGCCACGAGGTCCCGCCACGGCAGCCGCCCGTACCGCGTCCACGTGGCGTGGAGGCCCGCGAGCTCGCCAGGGACGCCCATGGCGAGCGCGCCCCTGTACTTTGTCGTCGGGTCCGCGGCGTACATGTCCTGGTGTTTGCACAAAACCAAAGCTGCAGTAAGAAGATGCTGTTTTACTTTGTTCAAATTTCTCTTTTGGGCGGGGAAACATTCTGTGCACATTTCCAGACTTCAGGAACTTACTAAAGGCGGTAATTGTTGTTTTGCTTTGGACGTTAAGTTATTTTTAACCTGTAATTAAAGAAGTAAAATTCATCTGGAGCCAAATTTAAAACAGACCACTAATAAAAAAACAGAAATGTTATATAATACATGTATATTTTAGCAAAAAAATCATATGAATTTTAGTTCACCGGATCGTTGCCTCGGTTATCCGTGTCCGTCAGATCTGCAGGGGCCACCGGCCGAGGACCTGCCTGCCTGAGGCCACCGGCCGCGCGCGGCGCCAGACGGCCGGCCGGGCAGGCGAGGCGATTACAGCATGCCAAAGCAGGATCTGCAGGGGCTGCGCGAGAATTGATTGCCCCAACGCGGCTACTACTAATACAGAAATCTAATCCGCCCCGTCGTCCTTGCCATTGCCTGGCCGCCTGTGCTCTGGGCTGCATGCATGTACGCCTACGAGAGCTCGTAGCCCTGCGTCGATGCCACGGCGTGCCCTGCGGCCCATCAGCTAGCACACACCACCAGGCGATGAACCAACCCCTCTGTATTTTATTTTTTCATAGAAAAAAAATTGTTTTATATGATATGTGATTTATCATTTGTGATATGTAGATTTGTAATCTTGTGATTGTCTAAAAGTAGAAGAAAGCTAAAAGTAGAAGAAGGATGAAGGCTGTTAGATCTTAATCTTATGATGCAAAAAAATTCATGGATTAGAATTGTATAAAACACATGGTTGTACAGTAGATAAACTCATAAAAAAATGCTACGCTTTCTCCGATCCCTCGTGCCACTGCTACCTGCCAATTTGATGGGATTTTGTTTGAGGCTGTGCTGTTCAGATCTTGGGCGTGCGTGAACCACGTGGCTACAGAAAAAATAACAAAAGGCAGATTGCAATCGATGCGATCTTGGGGCAAATCTGCTTTCGTTTTAAAAATTTGAGGAAGTACAGTCTGAACTGTAAAGCCGAGTAGGTCACTGAAGTAGACCTGAGTTGTATTCTTATCTAAGGGCGCGTTTAGTTCCGAAAAATTTTGGCTTTTGGCTACTGTAGCACTTTCGTTGTTATTTGGTAAAAATTGTCCAATTATAGACTATTTAGGCTTAAAAGATTCGTCTCGCGATTTCTCGATGAACTGTGCAATTAGTTTTTTTTTTCGTCTACATTTAATACTCCATGCATGTGCCACAAGATTCGATGTGACAGGGAATCTTGAAAATTTTTGGTTTTTGGGTTGGAACTAAACGGGGCCTAATTATTTCTTGCAAATGTATGTGACGTGGTAGTTGACCATCCCACCGGCAGGTCGGGCCTAATTTTTCGGGCTACGGCCTCGAGCGGGGGCCGTTCGTGTATTTTATAGTATAAAATAGCAAAAAATAGTATTTTGGGTTAGGCTCAGGTCAAGAAAAAATTTTCTGAGTAGCGGGATTAAAGATATCAACGGGCGTGGTGCCCGCAGATACTACCTTCTTACGCCCGCGCCCGCCAGCTAAATCTCTCGCCCGCGTCCGTGACCCGCCACGGGCAACAAACCACGCTCGCGCACTTCATCCACGGGCATGCCCGTGTGCCCGCCAGGTTGAGCATATACATAAACCATAGTACATTACAAGAGATATGAAGATCCAGATTCACAGCAAATCATGTATATATACATATATTTGCTTGTAGGTCCCACATGTCAGACCTGTGGAGTGGGTCTGGCGGATAAGTGGGCGAGGATAGCAAATTTTTTACCCGCGAAGAGCTATCCTCTAGGCTTAGGATGGTGCCCGCGCCCGTGCCGTGCCCGCGGGCAAGAAGTGGTACCCGTATCCTTGCCCATCGGGTTCCATGCCCGCGGGCATGCGAGCATTCTGTGCCCGTTGCCATCTTTAAGCGGGATCTCTATCTAGACCCTGTCCAGTAAGGTTCGTGGGCAGAGGCTAAAACCCATCGGGCTCGGGCCGGGCTCATTTTGCTTAGGTATATTTGCGAGGACCCGACTTTAGTGGTTGTCCCCAAGAGATTCACAACTTTTGTGTACGAAGTCAGATAAATACAAACTTTATATAAAACTTATAGAACTCAATGCAATCTGTAACTTTATA